TTACCCGATTTAGAAATTATGATCGTCAAATATTACTTAAGTATTTAACTATCAAATATTTATTTGATTCTGCCGAGCACTATGCTTGTTATCACAATTTGTCATTTTAGCAGATTATTAATTGCCATTTGGGGTATGCATTATTTCAAGAATGCACATGGGTGTTATTTTGAAACCAATATGCTATTTTAAAGAAATGCAATTTTCGAAATAACGCTCATGTGTATTATTTTGGGTAAATATGGTATATTATATTTTATTCCCATGTATTTGACTTTTAATTAATTACTAATCTTGCTATTCTGCTTCTATTTTATTATAACATTTTTCATGCAATATTAGAACTTTTGAATTACTATTCACATCTGATCAAACATCATATAGTTATATAGTCAATATGATAAATTAGTCAATCTAATCTTTCTTATACTAAGCCTTTTAAGAGAAAGTTTTTTTTTTTTATAATTTTATTAATACACTTTAAATTATGCTAACTCTATTCAGTTTTTTACAGTCTGGTTCCAGTCTTTATAAAAACCTATTCATACCTATTCTGAATATAGGATAGCTATTGCAAATAGTAAATAACTGACTTTCACTAGTAGTAGTTCTGTAATACTATCACAACAAGCAACTACCTTAATATACAATCTACATGCCTATATTTAAATATAAACAATTCTAGAAAACTTTCTTAAATTAATAAACTTGTATTTATTATTAAATAAATAGTAAGTATTATATAATAATCTTATATTTACTAATATATTTAATCTTTAAAATTGCTTATTAATATAGTAAGAGAGAAAATTGATATGATTTTATATAATATTTTAAATTTAACTGCTTTGTATTATGAAGTACTGTATTTATATTTATATATTTTTAAAAGATTTTTATAATTTGTTTATAATATTTTTAAAATATATTAATAATAAAGTTTTTAATATTATATTTAAAATATAATTTATTAATATATTTAAATACATTTAAAAATAGTGATTATATATTAAAGTTATAAATATATTATATAGTTAAAATTTATTAATACTCTATTAAAAACTTGTTTATTATATATTTAAAATCTGTTTATAATGTATTTAAAATATAATTATAATTTGCTTATAAATTTTTTAATTATTTAAAATATAGTATAATATCTGTTTATAATTACATTTTTAATATAATAAAGATATTATTTTAGTAATTATTAACTTTTAAATATATACATAATAGCTATAAACAAGTTATATATTATTAATTTAGCAGAGCTTATTATTATATCATTATTATATTTTAAATATAATTATTTTTTTTTGTACAATATATGGAACAGAAAAAAGATATTTAAATTTATTTTAAATTTGTCAAGTTTTAAGATTACAATTTCAATTATGACTTGATTTTTTATAATTAATTTTGATTGGTTAATGAAATTTATAGACAATATATATACATATTAGATTTTAAATTTCTAAATACAAAAAATATTATATATATATATATATATATTCTGCATATAAAATAACTTTTTAAAAACTATTAATTAGAAAATCAAAAAATTTATTCTAACAAATTGCAGTATAAATAGTTTAGAAAAATTTTATTATATTTTAAAATTTATTTTTCTTATATAATATTTATAGTGACAATTTCTTTTTTTTATTAAAGTTTTTTTCTAATTTACTAACACATTTCAAAAGTAATCCTACTTTTTTTCCAATTTTAAATTTTTTTTGGAGTTAGTAGGCACACTTGGTTTAGTATTCACAATTGGCACTGTTAGTCCAGTAGGCACTGGTCTGGTAGGCACACTTGGCACTGTTGGTTCAGTGGGCACTGGTCTAGTAGACACTGTTAATCCAGTGGGCACTGGTCCAGTAAGCACAGTTGGAAGGTAGGCGCTGTTGATTGATTCAGTAATGTATACTAATTTATAGTATTTTTTAATATATATATATTTATTTTTTTAAGTTATATAATTGCTGGTTCAATTTTCAATAATAAAAAAATAGTCACTTGTATTTTTTTTCTACGTCGTTCTGTAAATCTGAAATATTCTGCTAAAAAAAAACCAACCATATATCTAAAATCCTTTTTATTCTTTATGCTATAAAAAAATTAACTTGCATCTAAATGGGTATTAAAATGCACATATGCATGACTATAAAAAAAAAAATCTTTAAAATTTGTAATTATATATACAACAAAGACCTATTAATGTAATAAATTACTAGCTACTATCAATTTTTTTTAATATGAATAAATGGTAGTTCAATCTATTTTCCATAGTAAAAAAAAAAAATAATAAAAGGTACTATTAGTTTGTTTCTAGTCAAATAAAAACAGATGACTTCTTTTTTAAAGATTTCTTTTTTACAAAGAAAGTTGAACTCTTGAAACCCAAAGGAGTAAAAGATGGAATTAGTGGTATAAACCCCAAAACCTAAAGGAGTGAGGTTGTGTTTGAAGAACTCTGAAACCCAAAGAAGTGAAATTGGGTTTAAAGAACTCTGAAACCCAAAGAAGTGGAGTTGGGTTTAGAATAAACCTTGATACCTAAAGGAGTGGAAGTTGAAACCTTAAAACCAGAAGAAGTGGAAGTTGGGTTTGAAGAACCCCAAAACCTGAAGGGATAGAAGTTGGGTTTGAAGAACTCAAAACCTGAAGGGGTAAAAGTTGGGTTTAAGAACCCCAAAACCCAAAAGAGTGAAAGTTGGATGGATTTAAAGAACCCAAACCCTGAAAGAGTGGAAGTTGGGTTTAAGAACCCCAATACTTGAAGAAATGGAAGTTGGGTTTAAAAACCCCTGAAGGAGTAAATCTAACCTCTCAAAGTAAAAAAAAATTCCGAAGAATGCCTGAAAAAGACAATGGACACAAGAAATAAGCTTATGATGCACCTCAAAACTAAGAAAAGCTAATGAATGGTTGCAAAAGTCACACAAGAAAGAAGTTTATGGAATTGAAAAATAAGGCATTTGATAATTTTCTGAAAACAATTCAAGATAAAAATAAATATTCATTATTATTGATTCCTTTTAGCAAACTAGAAATTATTGGAGAAGGGGAATTGCAACTTATACTCTGTTATATGGCATCTAAATGTTTCAAAAAGGCCAGTAGCACTTAAATTATTTCGAGAATCACGAAATAATTGTGAGCAATTATTAAAAGAGGTAAATATTTAATTAATAATTATAGTATATTTATTTTATACTATTTTATTTTATCACAGTAACATGATTGAATTATAGCTTAAGGTATATTATGATATCGGAAGTAGATGCTCAACATCCTTATGATGTTATGGAATATCTAAAGATGAAACCACTCATGATTATATATTAGTTATGCAATATGCATATAAAGGTTCTTTGCGTCAAAATATCCAATCTATTGCAAAAATGGAATGGAAAGAAAGATTAAATTTATTAAATGATATTGCACAAGATCTTCAAACAATTCATTCTCATAATATTATTGCAAAATGATTTATATAGTGCAAATATCAGAGATTTAGGACTGCAGAAACAATTAATCGAGCATTTATGAAATCAGATGAAATTTATGGAATTATTCCATATATTGCACCAGAAATTTTCTGTAAAGGACTATATTCTACGGCAATTGATGTCTACTCGTTTGGTATAATAATGTGGGAAATATCTGCCGGAATGTTAGCATTTTCAGATAAATACAATGATAACATATTGTAGAAATTCTTAATGGAGCGAGGCCAAGAATTATTAAAGAACAACGCAATGTTATGTTGATCTAATGAAAAGGTGCTGAAAAGATAATCCTGATGAACGTCCATCAGCTTCAGAGATTTATGAAATTATTCAATCCTGGAGAAATGAAGAATTTTTAAAGAGTCTGATGAAATATTGAAATATGAAAACTATAATTAATCATTTATGCACCCTGAAGCAGTTACAAGAGCCAAAATATCAACTGCGATACTAAAAGTATAGAAAATTCGGAATTTTTAGAATTATGGTCTCCAAATAACACTGGCTTATATTAATGGAATCGATTTAATTGGAGGAACAGATTATTATTATTATTAATGAAATCCGTTATCACATCATCAGAAGGTAAAAAAAGGATTTTTAAAAGTTAGTTATTCTAACTTAAATTTAAAATTTTATATTTTTGTTACGCAATTTCTGTTGTAGTTATTATTTATAATGCTTTTATTATGGGTTTTAAACAGAGGGCGGGTTTGAAACATTAATTATCTTGTTTTCTTGCAACTTTATATAATGAATATTGATATTTACGAATATATCTTCATAGTGCCTATAATCGTTTGCACGATGATATCAGTAATAGAATCGTCATGCGATTGATTTTCTTGGGTTTTTACTAATCTAGTAAATAATTTTTATTGATTTATTTCTTAGAGTCAAAACTAACATTGAAGACTCCAAGTCATAACAATATTCAGTACTTATTAGACATTTAATGATTGCTACACGTATATTACATATCAGATATCGTATTGTCGCGAAATAACGAGCGTTATTTCGCAATAATACAGTATGCGAAAACGAAATGCAGATTTTATAAGCCGTATACTAAATATAAATTAAAGCAAACGTATAATTCGACAGGCCCCCGGATTATTCTAAAAAAGGTGGTATTATTAAACCGGACATTTTTGGGCCACGTGACGCTAAATTCTGGTCAAAACAAAAATTTAATTTTTGATTTGACCAGAAATTAGCGTCACGTGGCCCAAAAAATGTCCGGTTTAATAATACCACCTTTTTTAGAATAATCCGGGGTCCTAATTCGACTAAGCTTTAATTCCCATGGTTTTTAATCATATTATCAAATCTTGTTATTTAAATAAAATAAATTGATGAATACGTAATTAGTTGCTATTAAGAAACTATGAAATTTGTTTCATCATAAGGTAGGTTTTTATTAATGAAAATCTTGATTACGTTCATAGAAAATACAACATGCATTTTATTTGACTCGGGATAAATATTTTTAGCAGTGAGGGTTTCAGAATTAAATGGGGGTACCTGATTTTGATAGAAAATAGATGACGTATTTATTTCAATAAGCGAGTACGTTGCAAAGGCAGAACTGGACCAGGACCGATAGACGTCGAAATATGGATCACACAAATAAATATCAACTACCAACACTGCCAAATATTACTGGCTGTAGTCGACTATTAGCCGTAGCCGACCGGCTAAAATTGTAGTCGATGCCAGACTTTAATGTCCTGGCTAATAAAAATGATAATTAATACTTAATTCGACATGAGACTATTGTTACCATCGGTTGGGAGAGCAATTGCGGATGTTAATCCAATTTAGCTCTGATGGATAACTAGGTTCGGAATTTATAACACTTATACACGTGGGATGAGGTCACGAAACACTTATACTGGGTCGGGGTTATCACTAAACAATCAAACTTAATTACCGGGAAGGGTTTATTATATACAATACGAAATGCGAGACAACAATAATAAAGAAATAAAACAACAATAAAAAGAATAACTAAACTAAACTAATAAATAATAGCTAATACATATACTCTAATACAACTTAAGGGGTGATCCGAATATAAACTATAACTAAAACATCAAAGGTTATATATATATTGAGACACGCACGGTCTAATGAAAGCTTGCCTAATCTTTGAAGACTTTGTCTGATAAGCGCACAATGATTGTGAGCTAAGCACACAACGATTTTGAGCGGATCTCTAAGCCTTAATCCGCCGGATTGATCTATGTCTCTAAGCCTTTGTCTGCCACCTAAGAGCCTCACAATATTCTTGTGGCTTCGGGTCTTTTGGGTGTTTGGTACCAACAAATAGTAGCCAGGCCACGGGTTTAAAATTTAAACCGTGGCACTATATTTGCGGTGTTGTAACCGTGGGAGAGACTTGGCTAACATGAGGTCAAACTAGCTCAGGGCAGGGTTACAAGCATAGGTTATGCGAGATGAATGTTTATAAAAGATTCGGATTTAATGATAACGGATTATTAAAGAATGTATTTTAGTTGGTATACGATTCATAAGGTACTTTATACTTCAATCCGGATATATTTTTTATATCCGGATATAAATATATCCGAATTTATACTATGATAAAACCGGATTAATCCGGATTTAAAACATTATGTCATGTTATATCACATGACATAGTATATATCCGGATATATAAATCTGGATAGAGGTATTAACTCTAGTACTTTATTCATTATTTCATTTATGACTAATGCAAAATTCTTTCTATTCTCCATTAGTTCAGCTGTTATATTAATACATTGCAAAACAAAAACCAAGATTTGTGGTCTCAAACCAAGATCTATAAAGATTTATGGTTCTTAACCCAGATCTGTAGTCTAACCAATTTCTGTGGTTCTAACCTATGCACAGCCATTACAAAACAATAGCATTACTACAATATAGAAAATATAACGAAGAAAATTTAAATAAAAATTTTCGTAACAGTCATCTGAGAACCCATCATTTATAATTTTGGCCAAATTTGCAGATTAATTGCTAGATCTAGAACAACCCAATTTTAAATCTGGTCAAATGACCTGTAATTTTGATCAGTTGATGCAGATTCACAAATAATTTTTTTTTTGTTCAATATTCTTGCTAGGATTTCATATTAAACACTTTCTTTATTAAACATTATGAAGATACATAGTGGGAGTAGTGCTCCACTTCATCACTTTCTCTTCTGCTATTACATACTGTGTTCAGTAACTTTCAATCCCAATTGGATAAACCCAAATCCCAACCTGGAAAAATCCCAAACCCAAATCCCAAACTCAAATCTTGTCTTTGAAATTTAGAGTTTCCCAAAGAAAAACTTTTTCTTTACTAAACAACTTCTAAGTAAAGTTGTAGAGAAGTGTCTTATGATCAGAAAAGTAGTTAAACTATTAAAATTGGCCTAGTGGATCATGAGATATAAGCATTTTAGTCTTTGTGACTATATGTTTTCTTCTTTATTTATATAAAAAAACATATAACTGCAAAGGCTAAAATATTTATATCTCATGATCCACCAGGCCAATTTTAACATTTTAACTGCTATTCTGATTACAAGACACTCCTCTACAACTTTACTTAGAAGTTGAAAGGAGAGTTGTTTAGTAAAGAAAAAGTATTTCTTTAGGAAACTCCAAATTCCAAAGACAAGATTTGGATTTGGGTTTTGAGTTTGGGTTTTGGATTTATAATTTGAGTTTGGGTTTTGAGTTTGGGTTTTGAGTTTGGGTTTTGGGTTTGGGATTTGGGTGGTATTTGGAATTTGGGATTGGAATTTGGGATGGGCTTGGGATTTGGGATAGGTTTGGGATTTTGGATAGATTTGGGTTTTGGGTTTGGGTTTGGGTTTTGTCCAGTTTTGCCATATGGGATTTTTAAATATAGGTGGACAAGAGGTGTGGCGGCTTAGTGAAGTGGTCAAGTCGTCACCCTCTCCAAGTAGCAGGTCTAGGGTTCAAATCCCACGG